ATTATTTTTTTTTGTGGTATTTGTGGAACATTCAACAAATAGTAGTATTTTTGGAACATTTAAAAAATTTTGGTATTTTTTAAAACAACTAAAAAGATAAAAATAAATTTTACATCCATAACCAAAATTTTAAAACTAAAACCGAACAAAAAATCAAAACTAACTGAATAAACCAAATTTATCTGAAACTAAACAAAAAATCAAAAATTTTATCACAAAAACCGAAATAGAATTACAAATTCAGTTCAATTCAAAACAAATAATAAAATCTAGATCGAAACCAAAATAATAGACTACTAAACTAAACAAAAACATAAATCAATTTGGTGTATATTACTAGATTTTTTTCAGCCGAAATAATTAGAATGCTCATTAATACCACATATTCAACGTATTCTTTTACGATTTGTAATTTTTTGTGAATCAATTTAAATAAGGGTGAATTAGCTCAATATCAATATTGGCCAAGAAATAAAGAATATAGCTAAGTAGGGAGAGAAAGAAGGCAAATAACCAACGAAGGCAGAGTTGGATGATTATACCCTCATGAGTGTGACGAGAAAAAAATTATTTGCTGGTGGTGGGTTTATCTTTTCCTAGCCTTGAGACATGTTACATGTATCTTCTCTCTCGGAAGCGTCTGTAATTGTTGCGTCTTCTCCGCTCCTCATATATGGCTTATTAGAGAAGAGATACTTTAACTTAAGGAGCAAGAATGTCTCATGAAAAAACACTATTTAGTTTTTAATAGGAGAATTGAAAGGGTAAAATCTCTAACTTCAACCTACGGTCTATTTTTTGTTTATTCTATGTGAACGATTTGTTATGCATTATATGTATAGTTGAAATTGTAAAAACAGACATATGTGTTTCTATCTAGATCTGGATTGTGTTTGAGACATGTTTCTTCTCCCTCTAGACAAAGTTTTTCATGTTAGTAAGGGCACAATGAGTAATATTGTATTATATATACAACCTATCGTAGTCACCATCTATTATAGTTAGTCAGTCAGCTAATAATAAAATTTTTGTTGGTTATTAGACCTAATTTTTTTTTAAATAATTTTTTTTCTTAATAGATCTAATTGGTAATCTGAAATTATATACTATTGTTTTTAGTTGTAAGCAAAAACAGGTAAACGATAATATGAAATTGTACAACTTGTTCCGAAGTAATACAAAATTAACGATCAAAATCCAATATTCTATAAAATAATAGTAATGGTTTGGAGGGAGGTGAGTGAGTGGGTGTCTTGAGATAAGAGGATTGTTGTGACAAGAGGAGGCAACAATTTTAGCCATTGGTTCATTATTTGCTTTGCAACCGAACAAATTGCCTTTTGTTTTTATTATTTTTTGTTTAAATTTATCTGCAAACTTTTTTTTTTAAAACTTGTTTATCTGCAAAGTATCAATTGCTCCAATGCCCTTCTAGGTTGAACCGAATTCAACTTTACCCTCGCTTATAATATAGTTATTCGTTTTCGTATTTTTAAAAATAAAAAATCAATCAAAACAAGGTTAAAGACAGATATGTCCTTAAAAAGTCGACATAATTACCGGGTCAACACCGCAAACCTGAGAACCCATCGGACAAACGAAATCGGACCCGATTTCTCAAATCGATCCCAAAATCTCAACACTTAGGATTTTCGATTTTATCTTTCTTTTCACTCCTCTTTGATACAAAAACCCAGAAACCTCAATTCGTCCTCAATAACGTCGAAATCTTTGTTAGAGTGAAAATAAATTGTTCAGAGGATAGGATTCGAAAGAAATGGTTCGTAAAAAGAGTTTGGCTAAATGAACGGTGGTTACTGTTCGCGACGGAGCAAATGCGAGCAATAGAGCAGAGGAGAGGAAGCGAGAAGAAGAGAGGAAGCAAGAAGAAGAGAAGAAGCGAGAAGAAGAGAGGAATCGAGAAGTTTAGAGGGATGCAGAATCAAATGAGGTGGATTCAAATGAGGAATCGAGTAAGGAATCAGTGGAGGAATCAGATGAGGCTTCAGAGGAGGAAGTAGAAGAGGAAGTAGAAGCGGAAGTACAAGCGGAAGTACAAGAGGAAGTACAAGCGGAAATG